TGGTGGCGACGACTGTGTCCGTCGATCTAACTCCACGCACGTCGTGTCGGTCCGCGACTGGTACCCAAATCACAGCAGTACGTCTCCGAGAAATCGCGGCAGGACTCTGGGTTCATTACTAATTCAAAGTTAATTCGTTTCGTAGTTTCAATCGGTAACGTGGGTTCGAATGGATGGCCATCCTCTTTTTCGTGTGTGGGGGTACAGATGGATCGAGTCGAACCGAGTACGAAATGCATACGCCGTTGATTAAAAGACAATGTAAAACAGGAACAGGGCCTAAACTTTCGGTTCGAAACTGAGACACTGACAGACAGACTCACCAATTGATGAACATTTCCGTAGTTTCGAATCGAGTGGAATTCCCCACCTGAAAATTACTCAGAAGTACGGGGTTCCGACCCCACGTACCACTGGTGAACTGAGAACCAACCATCAAGTTTCTCTGTACAGACAAAACAAACGGAGTACGCGCTGTTCAAAGAACAGTACTGCTCCAATGTTGGTACTGCTGCACATCTGAGATGACTCACGCTGGGTCCTGTTGTCTGTCGTCATACACCGGAACCTCGCGAGTGACCAGTTTGATTAGATCCATACCACGAAGCAGGGCGGCCAATTGATCAACAGAGTTAACATTATTTATAAACATAAACTAATGAGAGATAGAAGTTTACTCATAAAAAACATCGATTAAATGGTTGTTGTAACTCCACACGTTGCACGTTCTGTTGCTGGAAAGCAAAGCCACTAATAGCATACAATATAAAGAATCTTCGATTCTACAACGTAGCATACCGACACGTCACCCTTCAGATACTTGATATTTATTAATTATCATTCACACACTGTTACCACTTTCTAGATGTTTATCGAACTACACGTTTTGGTCGCATGTTGCCATCTTCAGGTTCGATGTGTCTACGTGCTCATCAATACTCGATACTGATAAAACACCATCATGCCGCCCCATCTAACTGGGCCCCAAAAGTTTTAAACATTTCAGAAGTTTTATTGCTTAAAATAAACTATACTGTTGAAAAAATTAAAAAAAAAATTTCAAACTAAACTATAAATGGAAGCAACTCTTGGTTTTTAATACGAGGACAATGACCACTTACTCATAGCACCTGAAGATGGCTGCAAGCGGCCGAAACATGTAGTTCTATAAACACTCTAAAAGTTGCAAGCAGTGTGTGTGAAAGTGACAGTTAACACAAAATAACCTTACCACGCTGCCACACTAGGAAGACACGTGCACTAGCAAAGGTCAAATATTCTGTCAAAGCCACTCACTACCTCATATTAGGTTCCCTGCTTTTCTTCCGCCATTGCTCAAACATGTCCATTTGTAAATACTTTTTCATAAAACACCATAGTAGTCCCTATTTGAACATCGAATGAGACAGAATCACAATTTAAACCACTCCAGCTTCAGGCCGTACTGCAAACAACTTTAACTACAAACCAGCGCAATTACATGAAAATAGAACAGGTTTTAAAAATGTGAACAGCTCACCTTTCTTGTCTGGAATGGCGACAATGGAAGGAACACGATAACAGTACGAAAACAGCAGACCTATAATAACAGCTGCAAACGATGCAGTAGCCATATTACTGATGCCCGCGCGCTATCAACCCATTCACTGATATGACAATCCATCTAGCGGCAATGTTCCCAAATAATTTCTCATCGATTACTTGACTGAAGTCGCCAACCCCTACGGGCAAACTTGCAAAGAAAACTGCGGTGTTCTTTCTTCATCGATAGTTGCTATGGTAACGCAAAGAATTAACACGAATATGACGTTTATCACCCCCACGTTGCTATTTTGTTCGAATACAAGGAACTTGAAGGTTCCCACACACGCACTACTGCGCTGTACGCAATACGAACACTTGATGTTGCCTGCCTTATTTCCGGTTCAATGCTCCAGTGCCTCCGTAATGAAATTCACCATTCACATCGTAGAATATCCCCTCTGAAATGCCAATTTCGTTTCACCATCGTTCAAAACATACACCAAACAAACTGGTTGGATTCTATCTCCCTCCTAGACAACCACTCTTTGAGCACTTCTACGACAGTACAATTGCTATTTTAAGTGCTTCAGCCTTACGGGTCATAGTGATTTTTTGAGTCAATTATGATTCGCATAACGAACATAATATTCTGATGTTGTAGCACCTGCGACCCACGTAACATTTTAAGGTGGCCTCTCATATGATTCGGAAATCAGCCAATGCTGGAAGGGAAACAATGTTCTGATCTTGAGGTGAACAGTGATATATACACTTCTCTCTTAATATGCTAGTCACAACAGTTAATAAGTTTTCGTTACCAAATTGTAAAGCACACACAACTTGACATGATTATGCTAGAAGCATAAATACATTAATAATATTTGGACGTACTGACACTGCAATTGTTCAAATTCCATTAGATATTAAATGCAAAGATTTCAGATGCAACATTTTAAAAAACAAGCAGTGATATTGTACTTAAATATACAAACCACAACTACTATGGAAAAAATAACTTACGCACTTTAATTATACTTTATTATACAAACATCTTAAAAATCAATTTCTTTTCATCAAAAACAGTGTAACATAACATAGAAGTGTGCCAACACTAATAAAATTCAAATATAAAACAATTACCTTTTATTTGAACAGAAGATATTTTGAATGGTCGAACAGTACTTGTAGCAGAAGGTGGAAGGTTTGTGCAAAAATAAATTTGTTTAAAATTAACACGGCCAGAATTCATTCACCGAGGCATTCTGCTTTACGAACTTTGCGTACAATTCTGACTGAGAAGAAGCAGCGGCCTTCTAGCACCGCATCTGCAGACAGATTTTCACATCAGTAAGATGATCATCATTACCTTTATTGCTATATAATTTCAGTCAATAATATGGGACATTTTTGTGCAGCAGAATAATATTAAATTCATGCAATTATTACTCACGTTCGTTGCGTTCAGGTCAAAATATGTTTCTTGATCAAATAAATGATAATTCTGAATTACTGTGGTACAATGTATGCTGAATCATTCTCATTCCATTATTCTGAATAATGTGTTTGAATTTTAGCCTACTCCTTCCTGCAAGGAATCAAGAATTCAATAAATTAATTAATAAGCTGTTTTCTTTTGAAGTATGAACACAATTTCTTTACGTCACACCCATTCATCCATAAAATAAGCCGTGTCGAGTGTCTAATGAAAGCGATTGTACAAGGGTTGGAAGAAAAACAGTGACATCACCATATGCGCACAGAATGCGGAACATGAACACGCGCGTCAGAAAACCGAGGCTGTCGTAAAATACCCTGACATCCTGAATCAGTCACTGTTGCATATGAACAGAGGACAGCTGAGGTGGTATATGCCATGTAACATTACACATTCTGAAATACGTCCTTTGGACGTGCAACATCACATCGAGGTTCATCCCCCACCACCTCTTGAAGGAAGAGAAGTGGCAGTGTTTTGCACGTCTTAATGGTAGGAGACGCATCACAGCAGGGATGAAACATGGGCAGTGTAATGAACTAAAATTCCAATGGTGCTAGTCGCAGTCTCCCAGGAACCAAGGAATGTCAATGTACAGCACTACCGCAACATCCTCGATCATCGACTGAACACAATGCAAATGTAATTTTGCACACTCCACAAATATTAGACGACGCGTAAACCTACGTGGCGATCGGGACCACGGACCCACTGGCATGGCAGCAAAATCTTTTATCGGATATCAAGAAATCCAGTCAATTGCTGGCGTCTGTCACCTTCCGCAAGCATGGGAACACATTAAAGGATTAGACAGAAGTTCTCTTAGGCACCAACTGCTCACACGCCACATGCAGCGCCAATATTTTCTTTCGACCCTCAAGTACGTCCATCACATTATATAGGACTACCGTGCATGTGATGGGATATGTTTCGTATGAATCTGAATATGCATACAGGATCAGAACTGAAATGAGCGTCGTAATGACGTTCAATATTCAAATAAGCAAGTGACACAAAAATAATACTGACCTGTATCCTTCACACCAGCAAGTCAGGACAAATAAACATTCAAATTTGAAGTAATGAATGGTCAAAATGAAATCAGACGGACATGTAAAATGCCTTCAGTCCATTTGTAGAAATTTTCTTGTACTTGAAACAGTAAGAATCTTAAAAAAATGCTGATGCAGAACTGTGAACATATTTACAGCAAAATCTAAGAAAAGGAACTTCACAAACACATCAGGAGAACCACCCACAGCACAGACTTTCTTCACTCGAGCATCAAAGATATGCATGCGGCTACATGTCAGCATCGACGTCTGCTTCTTATTCAATTTAAAAGCATTATTTATACATCAATGTTTACGAAGCAAACACTCACACCTTTTTAGTATCAGTTACAGTCATCCTTTCACTCCTCACGGCTGGTCTCTTACGCAGAAATTAAGAACTGCACGCACACAACACAGCACTTCAAGTGCGCCGTACTTCACTAATCACCAAAAAAAAAATGCTACAGACCATCAGTGTCTTTACAAACACAACACTAAATAACAGCATTTATGTGACTCCACACTCATATAAAAAAGATTCAACACTGTTTTCCTGGAGGTAAAATCCTACTGAGCTTCTGACGCCACCACAGATAAAGGGTCGCAGATCATATCTGGCAAGGCTGTGCCTCCACTCTGAAACAGAAAATCTTTTCTTGGTGGGGGGAAAAAAGTAGTTCACTGTATTGGACATGCACGTCTCTTCACTTAAATTCATGAAGTCACCAGGAATAACAACGGAAATGCACCTCAAGATCATGTTGATTACAACTTTAAAGACAAGCATTAAAAAAACTGGCAATGAATGTGTTCCTCGTACAAAGTGCATAGGATGAAGACAATGAATGAACGCACTTCAAAATCTACTTTCTGTGTTTTTATGAAATTAAATACAGAACTTGCAAAGTAAATTTCAGTCTGCTCCATACCAGTTCAACATAACCTCTAATTTACATTTACCCGCAATCTAACTTTTATCACGTTTTATTAAAACAACCCAACACATAAAACACGGACCCCCTTAAAATCAACATTATTTGAAACATTTTTCAGTATTCTGCACTAGCAGCTTCTCAAGAACAAGTGTGCACCGTGACGTTAGTCAGTGATGTTGAAATATAGTGATTTAAAATGATCTTCCTGAGTTGTTTCAGATCTGTCAGGATGCTCGTAATGAAACGTATTTTTCTGCAGTAATAAAGATGGAGGCAGAATGTTCCTCCAGAATGTGTGCATTTATCTTAAGTCCACGTGGCGTCACGACCCTGACGACCGACGTCGACACCTTCGAGCCTCCAACCTCCTAAACATGTATTTTAAAAAGTGCGTAAAATAAATGGGAAAGTGGCTACTGCATCACATGCCTGAATGTGACACAAGTACCGTAGGACAGAAAACATTGCTGAATATCTCACCTCGATAACGAGCGCAGAGCCGATGTTGTCCGTGTCAACCTGCGAGCTGGTAGACGTAACAGGAATATTTAGTCCGCTTCTTACATTGAGACTGTTGTGATGGTGGAGACTAATATAAACATTACACGAGCAATGATTTTTAAAAGTATTCCTACAACTTACTAATATTACATACATAAATGTCCTTTCCACTGCTTCAATTCACAATTCATTTAATGTGTTCTTTGAAATGCCATCAATAAACTGCATGTCACATCATAGAGACAGAACGGTGTTTCTTACAAGTGACGCTTCTTGCCTACAAACTATTATCAAGTTCACGACAATGCCTAGACAGAAAAATTAATATTAGAGATAACAGCGTTCACAAATGGGATCTAGTAGAAATTGAAGTCTTTTAAAAAAAACATTTCTTGAAATAAATAAGCAATAAAAATGCTGATTGCCAGCTGCACCTTTCTGGTTAGAATCCGATTCCTATCCATCCCAGTTTATATTTTATTCCCGTGTCCCTGAAAGCCCTTGATGGTGCCTCAGCTACAATAAATAATATTTATTGCCTTGCCAAGTTCTTCCAAATTTTATCATTTAATATGGTGATATTTTTAGAAACAGAAGGTATTAAGAATGCTAAAAACAATTGAAGACACATATTTTTTCTCTCTCTTCACCCACAAAATAGGAACACCCAGTCTAAATTTTCTACTGTCAAACCTTTGTTAGGAAATAACAAACAGAAGTGCGAAGGCATACTATCAGTGAACACAATTAATATTTTCACTGTTTCAAACCCAAAAATAATTTTAGATGATTTTCTATATTGGAAAGAAATTCAAAATTGCCTTCACATTATAGTTTACCGGAGGTTGCGTACGCAGCTGTCAATTAGAGCCGGCACTTCTTTACAGAAGAAGCCCCAGAATTCAATTCTATCTCTATAGAGAACGTTCCTTAAAGCCAATCAAAACAACTGAACGGCGAGTTTACTCACGATTTTCGTTTCTTAACCGATCCAGAGTGAAATCTTCCACCTTCCCCTCTGATACGATTCATCGCATGACGATGTCGAGATTCATGAAGATATTTCTGAAAAGGGATAGTTTAATTGCAGGAAATTGTATGTTTGCTTTAAAACCAAATAAATTCACACGTGCGCATGCACAAACACTTGTCCCCTGATTCCTCATTGTCTCAGATTTCTCCAGACTTATTTATGAAGAATAATGACAAATATACTTACCGGTCTTTCTTTTGGTATCCTTCCCTCTGCTTCTAGTTTAGCACGGGCCTGTCTTCTCTTCAGTATCCGTCTGTACTGTTTTGCATTCACATACAGCGGTTCCTCTTCAAGAAATTCTGTTCCAGGAAGGGGAATTCTTTGGAATTGTGGGATACCGCCGGTACCAGGAACCATCTGTTAGCAAAGAAGAGTTTGAGTCTCACTCAGTAACAGACCGAAAATTCCAAAATAATGCAAGACGCTTGTCTTGACTCACCATGACAATGTTTCCACCACTGACGCCCATTGCTTGCGGCAATGCGCTGGTTGCAGTGGGACCGGCGACGGCAGCCTGAGGGGTACCTGTGGGCGCTCCGGTATTCGTGGCTGCGGTCGGATTTGCCCCGGCCAACTGAACCAGATTTCCATTCAAATTGATAACTGAAATAAAAGTTACAGATTACAGGGCAGACGTTATTTCACGGCTTTGAAGGTTTAGCGTCCTACTCGGGCTGCCTTCGATTCAGCATTCAATGTTACTGCTGTTGTTGTTGCTATCATGACTATTCGAAGCCAATATTTTTCAACTTTTAGAAGCAGAGACACATTTAAGATAAATTATATAATTTAAGATGCTATTCTAGGACAACTGAGGAAAACCACAAAAATCTGTCAGGATGGGGGCCAGTGACAGTTTCTTGTGAATACATCCCTGTTCCTTAAAATGTGAGGGAACATCTTGACTAGCTCCATGACTATTGGCTTCAAGAAGTTAGTGTTTTAACAAATACACAATTGACACCAGAAAAATGCAACTGTATCAAAGCCAGTGATCGGAGATACCTGTGGGCTGTGCTTGTTGAACTCCTCCATCTAGCTGCATGGGCTGGTATATGAATGTCTGTCCATCAGACGTCTGGATAATTTGTGCTTGCTGTGGCTGCTGGATCACTATCTGCTGTGCGCCACTACCCTAAAAGCGGAAGTTGTGACTCTTTACTACACAATCAAGTACTTTCTGTGGCCACAAAATACTAACAGGGCTCTGTGTGATGAATGGCTTTCTGACGACCATTTGGTGGATTCTCAACCTCACACTTTAAAAGATGTCTTAAACGTTTGTACTCGTAAACTACTTCCTCTTCTACCACTGTTGCTGTTTTATCTGGATTACTGGTCACAAACTGCTATTCCTCTTCAATCCCTTACCCAAATATAAATTTCCATTGAACTCTGACCTTGACTCAACTAAATTTAAGAGCCAATTGTCAAGCGTAGGTTCATCTTTAACCTCTCCATAGCCACTGGGGCCCTGCAGCATAAAAGGAAGAAAAAGATCCTTCGTCGAGTTTCTCGAGTGTGTTAAAAAAGGGGTCATATCTTCAAAATTCAAAGGAATTCAAGAGAATGTTAGAGTGCATTTGGTCTAAAATTATTAGTCTCCTGTGGGACTTCTCGATTCAACTGGCTGCAACAATTTAATTTGTAATAGGAGTAATGAGACATTTTAATCACTGCATTCTTCAGTTTCCTGTTAATATATCTGCTGTAGCATTTTTGTATTTTCATAAATTTAAATCCATTCACTGCATTTTTAATTATTGTGCACCGTGTAAGTAAAAATGTAATGTGCTATGAATTACATTCTACACATTCAACCACTTGCACTCTCAGTACGAAATTCACCCAAAAGCTCGGGCTTAATTTTTTTAAACCGCATCTCAATCAACCTCAGTTTCTTTGTGAGTGACGGAAGGCAATTTTCACCCTGACCCAGATCTCAGATTCACTGTGCTGTAATGTACACGTTATGTTTCCACTGAAACACTGAAATTTATATTTATATTGCCAAAATGTTCAAGTTATTCAGAAATATCTGAAGAACTTACATGCTTATTCTTGTCAGACTTTCTCAACCTGCCCTGCTCCACTGCCGTCTTGAGGGATAAAATTTTGTGCAAAGAACAGGCCCTTTTAACTAGGAAAAACTAAAGACAAAGATATTCTGCTGAGCCCGTTCAAAAATGAAACTGCCTGTATCAGGCATAGGAAAATGATTAGGGTTCACTTATTTACATAAAGTACACTTCTAGAAATTATTTTGTAAGTTTTATGGCAAAAAGAACTGTCTGGAATCCAGAGTATATTCTGTTCCTGATGAGCAACGAACGTCAGAAAATCTGACTCTGACGAAAGCAGGAACCACGACTAACAAGGACTGCACTAACCTGCAAACTGGAGACTGGCACCACCTGAATCTGCTGAAGAGCCTGGCCGCTCTGCGTTGCAACTTGTATCGCCTGCGCCCCTTGTGGAACTGCATGAACCATTATCTGTTGTCCACTGTTATGGATCAACTGGCCAGCTTGATTGACTTGTAACACCTTAACAACGCGGGATGCAGTAAGAACGTGATGAATCATTACATTTTGGAATTATTTAATCACACAGGAATGTTATGGCATAAAATGAAATGGAGAGATGTCGTGTAATGATACAAGGATTCTGAAGAAGGAGGGGATGGCTATTTGAAAGTAGTAACGTGGCATTCACTTGGAAAAACTGAAAGAAAACATGAAAACCTATCTGAATACTCTTTAACTAGGCTGGTATACGAAGTTCCTCGATATAAATAAAGTCTGAGGATTCCAGAGTAATGTGCACCGTGAAACTGGAACGCACATGATAAGAATTACTTTAGTTTACTGCAGCAAAAGCAGGCAGCTCAGCACAATTGGGACTTTATAACCTAAGCCGTAACCCGTACTAACGACATGCACTAAAGTTCCTTCTACCATGATATTTCTCAGATGTGACTGCAGCCTGCATATGCGCGTATTTATGGGATCCGTGCACAAATTACAAATGACTGTACTCGGTACAAGCTAAAGTGACCCACACATAAACATAATGTTGTAAACATAAAGGCCAGACAAAGGTGAAAGTCAGCTTTATGTGAAAGTTGATCTACAACAAGGAAAAGAAATACCGGTATCCACTAGATAGGATGCTGAGGGACTGACCCCTCTGCTGGTCTGAACATCATGGTACAGACAGCAATCCTGGCCCTAACTAACTAACTAACTAGATGGCTTACAGAACCCAATGGTTCATCACCGAACTCACCAATGCCCTCCACCGAACCCTGTCCTGGGCCAAAAAATCTGGTCTCCTTCGCATGAGATTATCCTCCCATCTACGTCTCCTCAGTGGTCCCTTCCCCTCAGGCTTCTCAACCTAATCTAACTGGTGCACACCTATTGCCCCATCCATACGTGCAACATGCCCCCGCCCATATCCTGGCCCTAATGGGAATCAAATTCCAGACACTTTATTAACTGAGTTGTGATGGCTCAAGAAACAAAGACTTCAGATTACTACAGAAAATTACATCTTTTAAAAATGCAGTGGCAATCCTGTAGATGAGGAAAACAAGGAATATGAATGGAGTTCAGTTCACACACCTCATTGAAGAGGTCACTGAATACTGAGATGGAAGTGGGAAGATGATATTAAAATGGTTGTTGGGCAAGGAGGTTATACTGAATTGGATCAGCACAGAGTCCTGCATGTTCACCTGAACTTGCTGGCCGCCCGCCCCAGCTGGAACAGCCTGCATCACTGTCACCTGGCCATCGCCAGCCAGTTGCTGCTCCATGGTGCACGTTCACACACTGTTATGGAAACATTAAAGTAACGTATCAACACGATGTCTGTGAGATCCATGGTGTTCAATTAAGCGTCATGCCATGAAGTTGTGCATGTATATATGCCTTTATTAATCAATACAATGATTTGAAAGGTGTACCCTTTACTGTACATTAAAATTTTAAAGGTCTTCTTTATCACAGGCACTGATGTCAGCAGGGTGACCAACGGAATTACAAAGGCATGCAAGGTCACTGCTGCTGGTTAGGTGAATTTCGTTTAGGTTATTTTATTACACGTTAGGTTACTGTGTATATTCAGGCATTGTATTTCACTTCCTAAGCTTGTCAACAACAAAATTACATGATTAATATAATCTAATATTGTTTGTTCTGTGGATATGTTTCTATAACTGTACTGTATTTCAAGGTACATTCTGATGTGATATGTTATACTTTACCTTGTTCCATATCCTGTTTACAAGGATCAACGAGATGATAATCTAACCTACATAGCCATCCAATTTTAATGCCATTTTGCATCAAGAAAACAAAGAGGCAACAATCACTGCACATTATACATTAAGTAGTATTTAAATCTAAATTCTACATTGAAAAAATGTTTCCTTCAAATTTATAATTAGGGAAAATTATTCCACAGTAAGGAAATATGAGGTCACAGCAGCAATCAGCAATCATTCTAAATTCATGAATTCAAGCCATGATTTCTTATGTAAAACATTATACATGTGCCGTATATAACTTCACTACTTGATTTAAAGCAGCAACATAGTATGAAATAATAATTTGAGTAAAGATAAGAAACATGCTTCTGATTTAACCTCACTTCTCAACTTACAGCAACACCATTGAACAGCTTATTCATCATTGCTGATAACGGAATGTGAAAATCCACTAGTGCACAAAAGCATTAGAATATTAATTAATTGTTGAAGAACAAACAATAAAGTTTCTTTGTTCCAGCATTATTATAATAATTATTATTAATCACTGATCAAGTACCGCTAGCCAAAAAAATCAGCCAAACAAAAAAGTCACAAAATTAAAAACTGTTTTAAAGTAGTGGAAGCAGTATGTGTACACGCACTATCTATTGTTTTCTTACTTTTAATACGGCTAGACTGGTAATTTAATCTGTGTCCTATACTCTGGGACACAAAGGACTTTTAACAACTTGACTAGCATTCATGCATGAAACGATACATCACGATTTATTAACACGCAACATTATTCCAGCCCAAATAAATTTTAGACACATTTTACTTTTACTACATGTGAAAAGTACTAAATATATGACCTACTTGAAAACTGTAAAATATGCCACCAAGTAACCGAAGAGATGAATCGTTGTAACAAACATGGCTTCCTTGTTATGTTTCTCATGATGCGGAAATCAATCTAGACTTCTCACGTGGATTTCTAATGAAAACAATCAAATTTTGCCGGCCTGCAGACGAATACATGATCACAGAAGTTCTTAGACAATTTGTGGACTTACATTGGATATTTTCGACAGCACTTTCCCAATGATTGGTCGGCAAATTGTACACCAATGGTCGGCGAATCACCAACCATACAACGGAAGGCCGAGCAGTACATTGGTGCTGTTGACTACCAAACTACCACTCCCTGGCGAGCTAGCGACGCGCCAAGGTGGTCGATGCTTTGTTGGCTAATCGTGATAATAGAACTGTTGTTAATATGGGCTAGAAATTTATGCCATAATGGCAACAATAATGCATTTATATAAAAATTACCAAATATACGTACTTTACCATATCCGAACTCCTCCATTAGATTGTCTGTATAAAGTATCAGGCGTCCTCTATTGCATCCCCTTATCAATGTTTGGAGTGCCCCAAGGGTGAAAAATCTCTTCACATGTTTGCAGTTAAAAGTATAAAACTACAATTTTATACGAAATTCTTTTAAGAGCGTTGTGATGACAATCTCAACTTCTGTAGTCTGGATAGTATTACGAAGCGCAGACCTGTTATTAGTTACGTATGTTGGCAGTCTGATGTACGTCACGTACAAGAAACATTGTAGAGGCCATGTGTATTGCAAGCACCCACGAGTAAGGTTACATTGTAAACCAAACAAAGCTACCCTCAAAGCATTTGAATTGTGAATAATAGAATTTTGTGTTCGTCTCATTTTGGGGGGCTATACGTATGTATAGCGTCGCCACTTCACTGAAAGAGAATTTATAGATTATTTCTGATCACCTCGCCATTAAGTTACAAAACAATATGCCAATACTGTTTCGGAATGAAAAGTCCCATTCCTTTGGGTTTAGGTCAAGAGGCAACAATAATAAAGAAAACGTGGCGTATGATCAGTTCATATATACGTTAACTTTAACAAGTTTTCTTTGGCGTATGCATGATTTAGAATCTCGGGGTCTCAAGTGTTCGTTTACTTGAGTATACACCAAGGGTCGTCCAAAATAGAATGCACAGCAAATTGAATTCTCACGCATCTGCATTCGTCTATAAATTGAAACGCAGCCCTCATTACAAGTTTTTCAGCTTTGGTGGAATTAATATAAGTTATTCTTTTGGCTTTGTTACGTACAGCTTGCGGAATAAAAGAAATGTGAATGCTGAAAATGCCCACCTGATCAAAGACAAGCATCCACCACAAGTTTGTAATCATACAGCTTGTTACTGTTTTAAATTGTAAACCTGCATATAGTCAACTATAAATCTAAACCGTTAAAAAATCCAATTACATAAAATTTGTTAGACGATACAGCATTCAACAATCTTCCTCCAACTACCAAGTTCACTTATAATAAAGTTTCATAAAGACCAGGAATTTAAACTTACAGAATAGGTCACAAATAATTCTGTGTGTGCACTGCGCTGTCTGGATTTTCTGTTACAAGTAGCTTCTTGTAACACACATTGCAACAAAACTAGTTTTACTGCAAACAATGTAAGAGGTTTTGTTATACTTACAGTCTCAAAGTCAGCTTTCAAGTGCTCGGATTAGTGATCAGCGAGTGACCGGAGCTGTTCCTAAGCAATGCATGAAATGCTTCATTTGGACTAAGATCCAAGTTATCAGTTTTAATGCCCTTCTGTTTTCCCCTACAAAAGAATACAGAATTATACCAACACTGACAACCTTACTCAATCAAAATCAGCAAAATAATCAGCTTCCTACAATATCCCCCATCGTTAATTTGTTTTAGTACTTAATTGAAAGCCTTGCAAAGGGGCAGTGGAACTGCAGAAAAAGCAAGACAAATATTCTGGTAAAGACGTTAACCAATACCAGAAATGTTGTTTTTCAAAAGTTTCCACAAACATTTCCAACACATCAAATTATTACTGGAAATCTCAAAAGATACCGACTTTAACATGAACTCAACGAGGAAGAAGTGACCACAGTAAATTTTAACACAAAACCTTGCATTTCGTCCAGAGACTCTGCCGTTAACAAAGATAAAAGAAACAACTGCCCACTTACGTATCAAAGAAAGATAAGATACTGCACAAAACCAACCTGAACAGCTGTAATTTGCCAGCTCCTTGAATATGAAGGGGAGAGCCAACAAATGACAAGGACAGCTCGTATGGTTTCCACAATGAAATGCGCCTTGTGCCTCGGTACAACAAACTGCAGCAGTCTTATTCATCACCGACAAACATACATGGAACATTTTCATTTAAAAGTTGTTTCTTGGCTCTACAACCCAGTGTGGGTTTTTGCCGCCTCCTTTTCGGAGGTTTCTTGGTCCTTTAAGTGTGCCATTTGTGAGTAGTGGGTGCCCAGCCCACGGCCTCTGCACAATTTCTACTCAATCCTGATTTGACTGCCAGAGCCATCTGGCAGTCAATCAGGAGACTTTTTGGGTGAGAAATGGCCACTGAATTTTGCTTACGAAACATCTCATGTCATGCTCTTAAGGTTCTTTTACATGCCGTAAATCTACGACATGGGACCGCCGGCCTTACTTCCCCTCCGAAGGAAGTTGTGCTACGGTTTGAACCCGCAAAGCTTTGGGACCAGTGACGAGCACACTGACCACTACTCCACAGAGGACAACTTTCATTTATAAGAGACAATAGAAAATCATGTAGGATTTGAGGTTTTCATGGCAGTGACTCTGAAGACGGCGGTCTTCTGGGTTGTTGCGCCATGTAGTCTGGTAGAGGTTAACCAGACCACATGGCGCAACAACCCAGAAGACGGCCGTCAATAGAAAATATCAATTCATTATTTATACCTTGCAAGAACAATTCACTATATTTACATTTCAAATGGGTCCCTATTCCATGAACAAAATCACAACTCAAATTTCAGCTAATTAAATTTAATTATGCCAAATGTACAACCTTTTCCCTTCTACTGACTAGCAGACAGAAAGCATTCTTTCACCCTCTTAAAAAAATTGTATAACACCGATTCATTTTAAATTTCCTTTACATATGACCATTACCATTTTATGACAAAAAGGCAACATTCAATTAATATTATGTAACAACAGGACCTAGATACCATAAAATACCTGTAAAACATATGCAAGCTTCTTAAATACACATTTTCCTATAATGATACATTTTTAAAGGTATTATCACCATCAAGACCCAAAATTACAAAATATTTGAGTAAAAGCAGACTGGCCCAACTAATCACTGTACACTTTAGAAGCACACTATGTGTCAAAGGCAAAGGGGTAATTATATACTTTTTGCAAATACTAATTTTGAATAAGACGGATCTTAAATATGAGGAAAAACCACTGTCAGCACAAGCCTGCAGCACGACGACGAGATGCCCCGTCCAATGCTGCAAGCATGTACTGTGTTCAATCCGACTGGTGCTACATATTTCACAAAGGTTCTTCTGTATATACGCATATTAAAGAATAGGAGCGGACAGGCACACTGGAGAGAAGCCGAATTATACGATCATTTTGCAGCCATATGAAAATCAGAACTCAAGTTGGCCATACGTATTTGTTTTAAATTATGCTTTGCTGTTGAACCTTGGTCCAGTTGCTTACAACACTTGAAACGCTGCAGATACAGATAATATGAGTGACAGGGGAAAAGATAGTTAAAAGGGCATGTCGCAAATGTACCGCGTCTGAACTGCATAACCAATCTTAACCACAGGACATGGACACTTACAGCACAGCCACCTTAACACTACTGCATGCACAAATGGACTAAAAACATGGCAGCACCAACATTACGGCACTAGATTTTCACGTTATTAGCGCAAATACACACCATCTTAAAAGTTGTTGCTACAAAATATTTTACACAGTTGACTATGTTGTGCATATTCTTTATGTCTGAAGCTGTTCACTA